TCACAGATCCTGGATTAGAATTATCAGTGTCACTGTCCTGGTGCAACCCCAATGGAGCTGATTTTGAGACTCTCATATTCCAGTGCTAAAGCAAGGAAAGCAAAAATCATTCTTGCTTTAAACAGCAGCAAACCCTGCTTGCACTTTCTGATACACACCTGTGGTAGTTTGGTCTGGGCCTTCCTTGGTGACCAGTTTGTAACCAAGGAAGGGTCTAGATTTACGCAGTATTCCCTACGATTTTTACGTAAGCCAGACTATAAGAAGAAAGGAGGAGAGGCCTTCGCTCTCTTTCCTTCCGGCGGCTTGGAGGTGCAGGTTCCCTGCTGTTGAGTCTGCCGTGTTGGGGAGCGAGGCCTGGTAAGGCCTTGTTGACCTTGGGAGGAGGAGGTTGCCGGCGATCGTCCCGGAGTGACTCTCGGTTGTCCCAAGGAGAGTGGTAGGATATTTCTTTGCTAACTCTTTAGTTACTAGATCTCGGGCTACTGATTGGGATATATATATATTTTATTTTGGTTTTGTTCCCTTTCTCTTCCCCCTTCCCTTTCCCTTGTGGAATTGTATATATTTTAATTGTATATAATTGTAATATAAGTGTAAATATATTTATATATACCACTTTAGCTGTCTCTCTCTCATTTCGGGTTTTCTTGGTTGTTTTTCTCCCTCTTCTCCCTGAGGTTTGGGGGGGGGAACTTTTGTTCTAAGGTTTGGAGACTTGGCAGGGAGCCATATCACCACCTCAGAAAAAGATGACAAGGCACATTGTAACCCATGTGTCAAGGACAACCACACAACATGCCTCTGCAACGTGAGAAGCCATAGCACCTCTTCAGTGAAGCCTCATCCCTGTTCAATGAGCTCTACAAAACACACCATAAGCAAAAATAAAGGCTACAAGAGAACCCAAGAACTCTGTTGTACCTTTGCCCTCCACAGCTTCCCTGGATCACCTGGTAGAAGTCTCTCAGTGCCTGTGATCTGCCTTGGAGAGCCTGTCAGGACAGCCAACACTTCATGGCAGTTCGTCACTCAGCGTTGCAGGTCAGGGCCTCATGTTCCCTCCCCTGTAGAAAGCCTTTGGCAGTAATTTTCCAAACTTGAGTGTATCCTTTGTCTCTGAGAAAGATCCGTAATCGAAGTTGCAGAGGGTCTCCTACACAGTAGGAACTGGTCAGTGTTCTGCTGCTTCCCAGTGACAGGGATTTTGCTCCTTCTTATTTTGCATGGCCTCAGCATTTATGGTCTGTAGCCTTCTATACACCCTGCTTTTTGCAGTGCCACCATGAAAATGTCTGTATAAATGTGAATTTCAATAGCCATTATACTCCCAGTAGCAGCAATCATGTTTGGTACCTCAGAGCCTGTTAATCTGTAGTAGTCATGAGGTTACTTATCTCCTGCTCTTTTCAAATACCTCAGCAGTGGATACAAAAGGGAAATGGCAGGAGCTATTCTTCTCTGGAGTCTGAGAGGGGTTTTTTTCTCTTTTCTTTTTTTTTATTTTATTTTATGCTATACTGTTGCTACATTACATTCAAAAGCGATGGCAAAGTTTGCAAGAGAGATAATAGATGAAAGTCTTCCAAGTTTCTGCTACAGTAAGACTCTCAGCCCATAAGAGCACCTGGTTGAAGGGTGTTGTTTCAAGGGCCCAGAGTGCTTAGCTGTCTGTTAGCTAATTAAAGCACTGTGATCTCAGAGCTTTGAAAGATTTAGTTCAGATCTTCCTTGTAATTTTTAGCTCTACTATCTATTTGCTGATGAATCCTCAGCTCCAGCCCACAGGTGTTGAGCTACAAAGGGATGTTTGGAGAGGGGTGCTTGTAGACATGGACTTACGCATTGTTAAAAGGCAAAGAGAGATGTGACTCCACAGAGACTTGTAGTGAGGATAACCAGAGCTAAAAATGTGCAAAGAAAATAAATTATAAAAGAAAACTATAATTTTGATTGGATTTGGACTGTTGTTGCTATGGTGAAAAATTTGGGATGATGATTAACTTAACCTCTACCACTGCTGACATCCAAAGTTGAAGCCATTTCAGCAACCAAAAACTGGACAAGAGCTGTCCCTGAGGGTCGGTCCTTATCCCTTTCTATCTCCCTAGGTGGAGTGTTGCAGAGCAATAGAACACTGGGAGATCTCACTGTGTGGCCAAGTGTGACTGAAACATGGCCACAAAAAGAACATTAAGGTACAAACTCCATGACTAAGCAGTTAGGCAAGTTGGACACACTGTTTAATGAGATCAGAGGTCTGCCAGATGGGAAAATCCAGGGAAATCCTCTGTGAAGCTGGGTTTACAAAAAGAAAGGAAGGTGCTAGACTTGCACTTCCAAGCCTAAGCAGAGCTGGGTCCTGCAAATGGAGAACAATAGTGCCAACTAAGGCAGGACACAAAGTATAGCAGATGTGAGGGAATGAAGAGGATGCTGAAGGTGCTTAGAAAAAAGCCCCAAAAGATGGGAGCGATCTGGGTCTCGTGAGGAGATGGTAATAATACAACTTTGTTTTCTACATATAGCAATTAAGATACTAAAAATTCTTCAATAATTTGGTAAACAAGAGGCTCTTAGTCAAGACACAGTAATGAAATCTTCATATTTGTTGCCCATCATCCAGCCTTTGGAACAAGGCTATAGAACAGGATTTTCTCCTTTCCTGCACATCAGGGTCCCAGAAAATTCAGTAAAGGACAATGCTGAGCTCCTTGGAAGGTATCTTTAATTCCTATTGAATTTCTGCAGGCTCATCCATATATAAAAATAATCAAGACAAGGCAAAATAAAAGCAAAGAGCAAGGCCTAGCAACCTAAAATAAACTATGCTCCTTTTGCTACTGATCACCTCAACTCCTTGCTTTATTCCTAGACAAACTGGAGAGAGAAACAGCTCAAGGATTTCAGAGAAAATAAGCCAAATAATGTGTACCTGAAAAAAAATCCATCTCAAAAGCCACAGGCCAGGAGCAAAGAAATGAAGTTGAATTAAAATCTGGCTTTCTTACCTCCTCTTCCACTTCCCCACCGAACTAAAAAGCTTCTGCCGGCATCTGCTTGTGGAAAGGTAAAGGCTTCAGGCACCTGTTTTTTTCTGCGCTGGCATAATTTTAATTACATGAGCAACCACCAGTATAGTAAAGGAGTCTTGCATTTTCTTCAGCAAGTCTGCTTGTTCTTCTGGCCTGGAAGGAACATGCTTTTGGTGTCTTTCCAGGTGCATCTGCATGCATGGCCCACTGTGACTTAACTGCTGTTTGCTGTTCCTGCCTCACAGGGATAGATATTCAGAAGGAAGAAAGTAAATGAGAGAGTGCCCAAGGTGCCTCACAACATGACTTGGTTTGCCTTCTGAATAATTGCTGCCACAAGCTAATGAACATTTCTCCCCAGACTTTCTCTCACAAGGACAGAAAACTCACTTGGCTTAACAGGATTTTCCTGTTGTGGGTACAGGCTATGCAAGCCAGAAATGAGAAATATTTTCATGGTTTGAGGCAGCTGCACAAAAGTAATCAAAAAAAAAAAAAAAAAAAAAAGAAAAACCGTTATAGAAATCATGAGATGCAATGAATGAGCTCAGATTTGCATTCAAACTTAACCTCAGATCCTCGAAGGCAGCAAAATTTGAGGTGATCTTTTCAGCATGATTCCTTGACATCTACTGGATGTTCAAGTTCATGAATACAATTTTGTTGTATATGTATGAATGTGTATTTACCTGCTGATTATTTATGTGAACTCTGGCATGGGTTCTTGTACATACAGTCAGGGCTTACTCCAATGCATTTGCCAATAACTCAGTATTGGTGATGCCCCACCTTAAGCACTGTGCTCAGTTTTGGGCCCCTCACCACATGAAAGACACTGAAGGCACTGGATTGTGTCCAAAGGGCATGGAAGCAAGGAAAGGGTCTGAAGCACAAGTTTTATAAGAAGCAGCTGAAGGAACTAGGGTTGTTTAGCCTGGAGAAGAGGAGGCTCAAGGAGACCTTATCACTCTCTACAACTACCTCAAGGGAGATTGTATCAAGGTGGGGATTGGTCCCTTTTCCCAGGTAACAAGGTTGAGAGCAAATGGCCTCAAGTTGCACCAGGGGAGGTTTAGGTTGGATATGAAAAAAATTCTTCACTGGAAGGGCTGTCAAGCCCTGGAACAGGCTCTCCAGAGATGCACTGGAGTCACCATCCATGAAAGTATTTAAAAGTCATGTAGATGTGGCATTTAGGTACTCAATAATCGCAAAGACCTTTTCCAATCTGAATGATTCTATGATTCTAAAGCTATTTTCTGGTGTTTACCTAAGCAAAGTAATAATCCAGTTGTACTTACAGCAATTTGCAGCCAGAACACTTGGGGCACTGCAGAACAACAATAGAAATGCTTCAGAACACAATACAAACAGAGTATTAAAAACATCTTATAATTCAAACAAAACATGCTGAGTTCCTAAGAAGCAAAGCCATGGAGATGTAAAAAGGAATAAATATGTGGTTACAATGGTTTTGTTTCAAAGCACACTGTGAGCAAATGTGGTTTAGATGGATTTAGCAGAGAAGTGGCGGTGAGGTGAGCTCCTCATGCCAGAGCCCTCTCTGACAAAGACTGACTTTAAAAGCTCGTCTGTGTCTGGTGCTGACACAATCAAATTAAACTTGAAGCAAGCAAGCCTGGAGTACTGCAAGGATCAGAGCCGTAATATGGGCTTTCACTGAGCAGTATCAGCATGTGACAGTCGCTCTGCCCCAGAGGAGGCAGCCGTCAGGCTGAACACAGGGCATGTGAAATTTAATCTTTGCCGTTTTCACCTACAGGTGGGGATTGAGGGAGTGACTTCCTAACTGATATAGGAGCCATGTGAAGATACAAGGAATGACACTGTGACCCCAAAGGTGAGGCTACAACAAATAGCAAAACCTGTGTTTTGTACCCGTGGCCCATCCCATGTACAAAATAAAAAAACCTACCCTCCTCTTTTATTGCTCTCAGCCCTTACCTTGCAGTAGATTTACTCAGAGAAACACAGGCCAGCCCACTGGTAGCACCAGCTTGCCTGCTCAACTGTCAAGGGGATCCCAGCAAATGCCATCAGAGCAGTTGTTATTCCTCCCATGCAATATCTCTGAGCACAGCACAGAGATATAAAGCCAGTAGAGGCCTCGCAAACAAGAACCCCATGATTTGTTGAGAGCCTTCTCCAAGGCTAGTGCTATGTAACGGGAGCTGCATCTGGTGATAAGCGTCTTGCTCCAAGGCTACTGAAAGCTAAACAGACCCATGTTTCTTTGTTGTGCAGCAAGCAGAGCTCTAAGCTGGATGCTGCCCAGTGCCTTACCCATGTAAATAGGGGAGTTCCTGCTCAGATGCCAAATGTTAGAGCTGCCTTTGAATCCCTGACATTGATTTCAACAGGATACAATTGCTGAAGCTTGGTTCTCACTGAATAAAATGAAACTTGTGCCTGGTGGAGCCGAATTTGGTGTAGCAAGAGAAAGGCTGAACACTGCCCTCTGCCTTTTCAGCTCTATGAAATAGGCATTTTTCACTCCCAGACTCCTGTTGAATTCCAGGAAAAATGCCAGGAAGCTCTCAAGAACAAGCTTTAGTTCAGGGCTGAGCCCTGCTAGGGGTGTGCACAGTGAACTAGAAATACTGGTGGGAGGCAAGAGTACTGGAGAGGCAAAAAGTGGTAACCAGGAAAGCACCAACACTCGAGTGGAGCAGGACTGTTCAGTATCAGCTTGCTCAGGGGTGTACCAGGATGCCATGGATCGTCCTGGCTGTCCTGCAGGAGTCCCACTGCTATCGCAGCAAAACCCAAAACAATCTGGCTGACTCTTGACAACTGTGTGCCAGAGTTCCACTCTTTGTGACACCTGATGTAGTGTAAAAATAAATGCAGTACTTTGATATAATCCCACTGACATAAACACAATCAACAAATTTCATGTACCAACTCAATCATAAATGTGACATCCATATTTTCACTCTAATTTAAAGAACATTGGATGATCTTGGCCCAAACTTTAATTTAATATATCCAGATAGAGAAAGAGCCTTCATTGTAAAAACAAAATTGCTTGTTTGCTTTATCAGAGTAGCATAGAATACAAATTAGTTACTAATATCTGTACAGCACTTAGACTATGACTGAATTGCTTGGGTTCTTGGAGTATCCTCTCAAGAGAAGGAGACAAAAAGACACTGTTCTAGTATCTTTGTGTTCTCTCCAGCAGCTGTCCCCATGTGATGCATAGGAAGTGGGTCTGGCTGGCAGGGGTCATACTAGAATTTCTCTTCCACAATGACACTACCCCCAAATGTCTAACTGTTACATGAAACGTAGGGTGCTGCATATCTCAGGTGCAGTGCTCAGAATCGGCACTCCCAATGAAGGCACTGGGGGCTGAGAGAATGACAGTTTAAGGTAATATTGAATCAAGAACCAGAATATCTTATAATTTATACTATCAGAGTCACTACTGATTTTCTTCAGTCTGTACCTTAGCTGGAGAAGTTCCTCTGGCAATAAAACCAGCATCCCTGCAAGACTCGGAGCCAGATACTTCAAGCTGACCCACCCAAGTCTAAATTTATTAGGCAGGGCCATGCAAGAACAGCCACAGCAGCTCTATCATTTCAAGGTTAAATGTTTGAAATGGTCTAATATATGAAAGAAGGTGAAACATCAAGATATATTGGGCCAAATGGTATAATTAACCCCCAAATGAGGACTGAATTCTACCTGTCCAGAATCCTTTATGTTCTGCCTTTCTCTCCAGAGACCTCCCATTATGCTGCCTCATGTATTATTAGTGACACCAGACCTATATCTATGGCCTCTCTCCCTGTCACAGTCCCTACATATCACACACTGACATTGTCCTTTCCTTCTAGCCTTCATAAGGGATGACATTTTTGACATCACCCTAAAGAAACAACAAAGCTATTACAGGATGAAAATGCACAGATCCACCTAGTTAACGATCTGAGGGGTTTGCAGGCAGGTGATGTCTCCTGTAGGCTTCTTTTTCAGATAGATGGAAAAAAGGTACATGGAAGAAAGAGTCCCTCCCAGTCCAGGGCACCTGGTGAGAAAGAGACTGCGTTCAGAAACTTCCAAAGTTTGTCTCTTTCCTTTAGGGCACAGTTACACTTTTGGGTGTTTGAATTAAAAAACCTCCTGGGGCTTCCTTGTCCATTTTGAGAAACTCCTTTCTTATATGAAACACTTCCCTTGGACGTATGGGCATGAAGAAGTGCAGAAAATGTGAAGCCTGGGAGAAAAGCCTGCAAAGGCCAGCTATTCTAGGCATAGGTTTGAAGCTGCTAAAAGAGACAGCTTATGTTTCACTGAGGCCACTTCTGTCTTCCTATTCTATTATTCTCCTTTTTCCCTTTCATTTTTGCCTGAAAAGAACTTAAGGATAATAATCATCAGTAACACAAATAACAGAAAATTACATATACCTAGAAACTAATAAAGGAGATGCTTTTCTGGGATTGATCTGGACTCCATAACAGTGTTGGAAGTCACTGAAGAACCTGATGGCCACATTGCTCCAACCTCTCCATGACAGTTTCTTGCTTATTTTTCTTTGGTGTCAGCACTATATATATTCAGCAGTGTTATATGTAAAGGATCAAACAAAGCATTTAGTGATGCCCAATTTTCTGAGGTTCTAGCTCAGTTTTAACTCAGTCTTTTTTCCAAGCTCCTTCCAGAGAAAGAGATGAATCATGATTAAATAGGGGACATGAAAATAAGAAACAGATAAAGAGAATATGAAGTGTTTCTCCTGGAATTTTGTTCATTCTTCAGCCATTGCCCTCCATTTATGTACAAACAGGTGAAAGGATGGGTACGAATACGTTCCAGGCTAGACACAGTAAAATTGATGAAGACTACAGATGCCAGAGCAAATGAGATCTCTGAGGGCTCAGAAACAAACTCGCTGACATATCCACTCAATATTCATTGAAATGAGCTCAGGAAACTTTGCTCAATTAAAGACTGGCTGCAGGGAAAAGCAGATCCAAGCTGAACTCCAAAGAAGTGTTTTTCTGGATGCATGAGATCTAGGTCAAAAGAGACATAATTGGCCAAGGGATGCGGTATATTATAGTGACATCTTCCAGAACCAGTGTTATGGAGCACTCTGGCTTAATAATGCTCATCTTTCACATTTACTCCAGTGATGAAGTGTTAACATTTGTATAGCTAGCTTTATAGTACAGCTATACCTATAAATGCAGATTCCCATGGACAAAGAGGACTTTTGACTATATGGGTTAGTGAATAACAATTAGGACAGATTCTTTTCCTAGTGACAGTAAATCTGGAATAAACTGAAATGGAATTCATTGAAACTTCAGCAGTTTTACAGCAGTATAGACTATTGTAACATATTCAGTTGTGATACTGCAGACTTACACTGATATAATCATATATCTTGAGCCCATTTCATTTGGAGAAGGAAACTAAAAATTACTAGAGTCAGCTTTACTCATCACCTCCCCAGAATCCCCATAAAAGCTCCAGAACAGGCATGACTTTTCCAGATTAAACAAACCTGCATTGTCATTCTAAACAATGCCTTCCCACACGGTAGTGAGCCAGATTAATTTAGTCAGTTGCAGTAACATCTTACATTTCTTTAATAATTTTCATTCCAAAGGTTTTGGTGGAATGCTTTGACTCCTTTGCTGTACATAAGCTTATTAATTAACGATGTGTTCGTAACCAGTGCTTGCAGCCTGTTCTGCTTCCCACTGCTGGGAAACTCTTTCCTGGAGCCTATGCAGCTCAGTTGGAAGCTCTGGACAGCCATATCACCCACTGACCACCCAGGAAACTTATCCAGCTGAAGCCGTAAATGAATGTGAAAGGCTGTCAGAGTAAAGCCACACTTTGCAGGTGAAAATCAGCCAAATCTCACTGCTTATGCTATACATGTGAGGCATGAGGGGGGTCGTAAATCTTAAAACAATGGATGAATGGCCTGACCTGCAGAATATGAAATTGGATGAAGCATACAGAGAGACCCAGCCTAAGAGAGAATTTAGGTCAGATGAAGGCCAGACAAAAGCTGAGTTTTTTTTCGTGTTGCATTCTCAGATAATGCCGTGAATATCTAATACAGAGAGGAAAATCTTCCATGTAGGTTTTGACCCTCCTTTACCTCCACTTTTGGTAATAGCTTTCATGATACTGAAGGCAGAATATCATTTGGTTGAATTTGTTAACTAACTCTGGAAATAAGGGAATTAGAGCCATTAGTAAATCTTTTCACCTCAAAACTAAACAAAGAGGATCGGATTGCTATCTGTTGTAATCTAATTGAGTTCCATGAATTTACAACCACGGACAAATTTTAGCCAATAAAGAGAAGAATATAACTGTTTCATTCTGACATTTGTGACATCATAAAGCTAATACAGCTGTGCAATAAAGGGAAGATTTCTGATCACATTTGTCTAATTTAAGTTTCATTTATAATGGAAAGTAATTAAACACATTCCATGAAATTGGAGAAAGCAGAAAAGAATTCTTAAGGATGTCACTTCATTTGTGGGACTGAGATGTACTTTATTGTCTCCTGCTGTTTATCTTTAGTTCTGCGAGCAGGAGTTCACATTTATGTTCGTCTATCAGCTGCCAACCTAAAGCCCATTGGAAGATGCATAGCATTTCCAGAAGGATCTTAATAAACACCGCAAGTGGAGAGGCATTTCACACTTGGCAATTCATCTGTCAGAGCAAGAGATAGCTTAAAATTATTTCCATGACCATTTTGCAAGTATTTGTGGGAGACACCTAGCACCAAGAATATAATACTTAGGGAAGACACAAGTTAGAGAGGACTCACTGGTTTCACTAGAAGAGAGCACAGCTCAGCAAGCTCAAGGTGACACTTGTCTTGCCATTGATAGGCTACACCAAATTCATCAGACCAGTTGAAGAAAATGGAAATTTCCTAGCAATGAAAAGCACAGCGCTACTGACAACATTCCATGGCTCTGGGGTGCTACTGTCAAACTTCCCTCATCCATGTCATGGTAGGCAGAGCATCTGCAGGGGGAGATTGGCCCAGACAAGTGCTTGCATCACACAGAGAAGTTAAGAGTGCATCCTTAAGCCTCCATAGGATCC